ATAAATTATAAAATGCAATCTTTGGTTTTCCATTCCTGAGTTTAGCTACTTCACTTAGAATAACTGGCTTATAGTTCCATTAAAGTTGATGCAAAAGACACTATTTCATTATTTCTATGTCTGAGTAGCATTTTACGGTATACATACACCATATTTTCTTTATCCACTCATGGGTGGATAGGCATTCAGGGTTATTTCATATCTTTCCAACTGTAAATTATGCTGCAATAAACATAGGCATCCTTTTGATACAATGACTTCTATTCCTTTAGGTAGTATATATATATGGCTTTGTGACTCGTAAGTGAGTCCTTATAACCTCCACCTCCTCTCTAAACTTCATTTTTTGGCAGAATACTTGGGTATAATCATATGGGGGAGAAATAAGAAAAACCTTGTGTACAAAACCCATGGGTACACTTTTACTTATGCTGCATACTTTATCTTGTACCCATTCATTTTTTCCTCCTCTTCATCTGTATCACTCTTGCTATCTTTACCACCCTTTATTTTACTGTTTCACTGAAATGAACTTCTTAACATTATCTCCTGAATTGTTTCAAAAATTCCTGATATTAGGCACTCAGTAAATCTTCCATATAAGAGTTATCTGGAAAAAAAATGTGTTTTCAAAAGTTTTCATAACAACTAAATGAAGCTATTAAATAAAAGATGTCTTCAGCTTTACCATGATAATGAATTAAGACCATCTGAAAATGGAGAAGTCTCAAAACATTTTTCATTTTGATTCAGACTTAGTATTTTGCTTTTATCAGATATCAACTTGGAGATAAACCTTTTAGAAGTTGGTCCATTGCTTATAACAAACCCAGCACAGTTTTAAACAATTCCCCTTTATCTGATGGAGTGAAGATTGTCAGAGATGGGCCCCAGCTGGGGCCCAAATTAGAGTAATTAAGAAGCAAAAAGCCAGAGTACTTTCCTATAACTTGTTTATTTTATTTGATGATGAAACAGTATTACTGGTGCAGAATTTGTCATGCTTCTAGAAAAAGAAAGAGAGGGGCATTGTTAACGGGCCATGTGTAAGAGAAATGAATGTCAGAGCCCCACAAAACAAGAGTAGACTATCAAACCATAAGAGACATGCTAAAAAAGACATGCAATTTTACTTCTGTGATGGACTGAAACCATTACCAAATAAGGAAATGGTTTATTAAAACTATCACAAAATATTTCTCCGTGGTCGAGAGAAATGAAGAGAGAAAGACCTACAATTTGCAATCAACACCAATTTACCTGAGGTTTCTTGAGAAACACTTATAAACTTTGACTATTCCTGAAAAAAAGAGAAACATTTATGTAATAATGAACTAAAATGTTTTGGGGACCTAATACCATTGCCTTTTCTTTTTTGGAGACATCAAGTCACACTTATAAAAATCAATTAAAATTAAATTTAAAGGAAAATCTCACAATATTCTATGCTGTTTACATCAGTATCTCCTGACTCAATATGAAGGCCATATTAATTAAATATATTTGGGTACTAAAATTTTGCAGTCACATCTCTGGATTCAGTTCAAATGCTGTCCACAGAAATAGTCAATTGTCAATGTATTGAGCTCCTTCAGGGAAAAAGCTCTCTGTTCTTGAAGCATTTCTCAGACTTCCACAGTCTCTTAGAAAGAGTAGAAACCTTGTAAAAAATCTACCAAATAACTTTAAAATAAACTCTCTTTTCTGTACCAATGGTGAGTGTAATTGATGACATCACTAGTTGATTTCACTTTGTTGATGATATGTTGCATGGATTAAGCCAAACCAGTTTGTCCTGGCCACGCACATACTGACACGCATTAGAAAGAGAAATTGACTCCAAAGTAGATAGTGTCCAGGAAAGCAATCATTATTTTACATGAGAGTATTCAAAACTCTCACTTGATATGATTAAAGTTGAACTGTACTCTAAAAATTACAAACCACCTTGAGATATTTATTAACTCATTGAATTACAACATCCCTTACAGATAAGTATTATTACTCTTTTGTAAAGTTGTCTATCTTAGATTATATGGCTTTGGCAGCAAAGTAATGCTTCTAATGGGAATAAATACACCATTAGGCAAATTATTCACTCCCTTTCATATCACACCTACCATTCCCCAAGGGTATGTCTTTATTTCTAATTCTGATTCTTCTAAAGATCCCTCACATAACTGTCTAAAAATTATGCTTATTCTATTTCTTTACACCATCAATTAACTCTCTAATTTAAATATGATGCTTTAGGTCATTGACAATGCTTCCTATCTCTCCCTCTCCTTCTAACATTTGGTATTTATGTGGTTATTAATGCAGCTGCTACTACTGTTGTTCATCTTATTTAGTTTCTCTTTGAGGTAACTCTAATGTAACAGTAGGGAAGAAGGAGATGATGTAGGCAGATGAAGAAAGAATTGACTAATATCAGGGAGATGAAGAAATTACTATCTTAAAATTTTCATGTTCTCTTTTAATTAGTGAACTGGCAACTTTGTTTGGGGTAAACACCTGAGGTTTGCCATCTTGTGCAAGAAAAATCAAGGATGTGGGCAAACAAGAAGTGAGTTTAAGAGCAGAGGTTTAATAGGCAGAAGGAAGAGAAAAGAGAATACCTCTCTCCTGCAGAGAAAGGGCTCCTGAGTGGATCTTCTGATTTCATGATGAAATGTACAGGGTTTTATAGATGAGGTTGAGGAGGCAGTGTCTGATTTACACAGAGTCCAAACACTGGTTGGACCAGGTGTGCCATTTACATAGTGCCTGAAGAAGCTGTCTGTGCCACCCTAATCTTGTTTGTAATGCATATGGGTTCTCTACCTGGCTGGCACCACATTGCCTGTTCCTTTACTGTACATGTGGTTGGCAAAGAAAAGAAAAACTGGAAACTCCATGTTGAACATGCCTAGCCCAGGTAGCTATTGGCACCACTGCCAGCATTCACCTGTGCAAGCTTCCAGCTTGGTTATCTATGTCTGCAGCTTGATTTTACAGGCAGCTCTTCATTAGGAAAGAAATTATTTGGGGGCTGCTTTTTGTTAAAAGGGAAACTTTACCAAGAACTCTCTTACCCTCACCATCTTTCTAAATAATTTTTTTCTAGCTTCTGTATTATTAGAAGATTAAAGTAGGAACAAAGAGCTCTGATGTGGTCAGAAGCTTGAGAGGAGTTCAACACACATTTATTGGTCTCCTCCTCAGGGCCAGGTATACTGATAGACACTCCCAGCCTTGATTGGGGATTTAGGAGGGACTTCATGGTGGAAATCACTCCTGAGCTGACTCTTCAAGAATAGAGGTGACTTAGGCAGGTGAAGGGAGAGAAAAAGAAAAAGGTCATTCCTAGCAAAGGAAGAGTTTGCACAAGGGCTTCAAGGGTGAGAAATGAAGGAGCGGGGAGGCTTTGAAGAGCATACAGTCAATGCTGCTGAAAAGGCAGTTGGGGCAAGCCAGGGGAGCCATTTTAGAGTGTGCTATGAATCTGCAATTTTAGATGTCTATGGGGTGAAGCCACTCAAGAATGATAAGCAGGAGACATGCCCACTTTTTACTTATTATGTAGTTTACTCTGGCAAGAAGGGATGTAACAGAAAAGGGAAATTGAGGCAGGAAGATGAGCTTGATGGCTTTTGTTACACTACTGGTGAGAAATGGTGTGAAATGGAGTAGAAGGGGCAGGTTCAAGTAGTATTTGAAGACAAACTAGTGAGGATGGGGAGACTGATTTGACAAGATGTGATGGGATCGATGTGATAAGAAGGAGAAAGATTTACAATTAGCTCCTTGGTAATTGGTTTCTGTAACCAGATAAACAGTGATACCATTAACTGAGAAAGAAATTACTAAAATAAATGAAAGTCTGTAATGGGTTGGGAGAAGGCAGAGGATTGAAGGATGTGTTGAGCGTTCAAGAGAAAATGTCAAATAATTACTACCATATATAAACCTAAAGCTCAAAAGAGGAGAGGGGTCAGTTATTATTTTGAGGTGGTGGTTGAACCATGAAAGTGAGTTCTACTAGGGAAAGAGGATGAGGACCAGAACTTTGGAGAGCATCAACTATTAAGGCTCTAGCACAAATAAGAAACCCATATTAAAATCCAAGAGAAGAACCAAGTGTTGCACATGCCAGGGAGACCCAGACATTAAAGAGTTATGAAGATGGAATAAGAATGTTCAATAATGTCAAGAGCTACAGAAAGTTGTAGGGGGCCATATAGAAGCTGGCGGTAACCTTTGTTATGACAGTTTAGCAGCAGCAGAGAGGCTGAGCCAAGGTGGATCTTAGGATAGAGGGTGGTAAGAAGTGCCCACAAGGTGAGGAAGAAGGGATTGAGGCTCTTTGACAAGTAGATTGTCTGGGAAGGAAAGGGAATGATCATATGAAGGGGAAATACTGATCTTTTGCTGAGTGATATTAGATGCCCAATATTGCTCTATTTTGGTAGGACAGTATGAGGTGAGGTCACCTACTGGGAGTGAGAAGGGGTGGGTTGGGTAAAGAAGAAAGAATAATGTCTTTGAATTTACTCATTAGAAACTGAGAGACACTCTATGCAGAGTTGTCTTGAGGGCTCTGCTGAGGTTGTTCTTTTTTCTATTTCTCCATCTCATTTTAGCATTTCTAGCTCAACTTTCTAACTGACCTACTTCCCAATTAGATGAATGAAAACAGTGATGGTACTGTCAGTTCCAAAGTGGCAAACAAGACATTGCACATCTTCAATACCAGTAGACATAGATGTGGGAAGAACCCAAGACTTGGATAAGACTGCTACAATGTGTAGATCTGGGCAATTCCTTGACAACAGTGCACCTCTAATTTCCCCTCTGAAAATCAGAAATAATATTGCTGAACTCACAAGACTGAAGGAATTAATAGAGATAATATATGGAAAAACCTATACTACTACTTGGTTTATCGTGAACTCTCAGCAAATTTTATTTTCTTACGTAAGAGAAAAAATAATGATCAATATATTGAAATGGGTAGAAGATAAGGGAATCATATTCACTGATAGAATAACAGGAAATAGGGCAAAGGAGTAGTAAGGAGGGCTCTCTAAGGAGATTCTAATTGCAAAGAAAAACACATGAGAAACCAAGACATAGATAAAGACGGATGTTTCTAAAGAAAGATACGCATAGTACAAAAGTGTGGAGAAGGGCAAGGGAAATACTCAAATACCATTAATTACAATCCTTGATGTCAATCCCTGTGGGGTTCAGAGGAAAGAAACAGGCAGAAAAGGCACGTGTAGTCCTGTATATCATTCAAAAAAGCAGCTGCTCCTCAAATCTGGAAAGTCAAAACTCTTTAAAAAAAAAAAAGATAGTGGAGCCAAACAAGAGCCCAGAAATAGCATACTTGTAGAAAACCACTCACTGCTTCTGGGAAAATAGATTTAGGGTTGAACTGAGGATAACATTGCACAATGAAGACTTGAAGAAAAAGGAAGCAGAACTGATTGAATTTATCTGGAAGGTTCCTGTCATTGACTCATTCCCCAAATAACTAGTGAATACCTACTGTGTGCCAAATGCTGTGTCCTCTATAGAAAAAATATTTCTTTTTGAAGCATTTTTAAGTTTACCAAAACAGCTGTTTGTTTTATCGGTCTAGAAAACCACACTATCTTGACAACAACAACAAAAAACTAGTCTAATATGAAATAATATTGAACGGGCAATCCTGGCGAGGCAGGGAAGTCATTACATCTCTGCCGCTGGTTAGTTGCATACCCTTAGTTAACTTCTATGCCCCTATATCTTTGAGCCACAACCTTCTTCCTGTATTATAAATGCAGATGAATGTCTATTAACCTCTGTGACCTTTGTGACATCTGTTGCAAATATATAAACAGGCTTCTCTTTGGCCTAAACCACTAATGATGTATTAGATGTTTCCTAAATAAGATGTATTCTGAGGAGAATAAAAGAACCATTAAAATAGGGGAGATATTTAGTAATTGATTAAAATTTGTATTTCCTTTGGAATACTAAATAACAAATAAAAGATCATGATTGTCATTTAAGGAGAAAGAGGGTTTCTATGAGATCAAAATTTTACCCAACCCCATGCATTATTTAGTATTATGTCTCCCAATGAGATTTCATATCAACTCATTCAGAATCAAAGCCTTAAGTTCTAATCATGTCTTAAAAAGAACACAGAACCAAATTAGTAAATTTACTGATGGCTGTCATTTATTATCTAGACAGTAAATGAAAAGAAGGTGGAGAGGAATTCAGATGGATTTAGGTACATCAGGGAATTAAAGGTGCAGTGATTTATGAAGTTTTACTTGCTGGAACACCATGTTCATTAGGCATTTAAAGAGTGAGGGTATAGTGAGAAACTGGAGATGACCAATACAGATTACTGGTAGAAGAAGGAGTGGATGAGAAAAGTAGCTGGAGAAGAAGGACGAAAGATCACGGGAAGGATTTGTCAATACAGAACCGGAAGAGAGAGAAACCAAAATTCATTATTTAATTCACTGGATGTTTTACATCTTGGCTAATAAAGTCCTCTCTGGCATCTTTTAATGGATTAGCGTTCTCTAACTAATATAGTTCTCTCTGTTGACAGTTCACAAAAAAGAGATGTTGAATGTGACAGCAGGCAGTGCCCTGTCTGGCCAGTGCAGGTAGGATTACAGGAGAATGACAGCACTGGGTTGTCTAGTGAGAGTTATTAAGAATGACAGCACTGGGTTGTCTAGTGAGAGTTATTGGAAAGCATTCTTGTTGAAAGCCTGCTTCTTCACTGCATGTATTTCCTCCTAAACATACCAACTCTTCCAGTGTCTCTACTTATTAAAGTCTAATCATCCTCTGATGGTTGGATTTGGCCAATGGCCAAAGTGGAGCCCCTCAACCAGAGATCTGAAGGAAGAGGGGAATGAGGTTAAGACATTTATTCTCCCAGTTGTTTCCCTGAGGGACACCATGCACTGGCTGCAACCCTTGACCAGCGGTCACTGCTTCTCTCTACGTGAACCTGTCTCCACAGCCTTGTGCTCCTAAGGCCTCAGCGTGGTAGCAGCCTGGTTACTAGAAGCTCCAGGATACTGTACCACCTCTTGTTGGTATTGTCAGCCCTCTATATAATATCTTTATTAAACCCTCTGTTCAGTTGCCTATCACAGCATAACAACTCATCCTGAAATACAGTGGCTTATAATCATAATTATATGTTGGTAATAATTTGCTGGTAAAGAAATGTTGTTGGGGGAGAGGTAGATTTTTAGGTCATATTGACCATGTATGCAAACAATTAATTTCAAGCTAGTGTGTGAAGTCAATTAAGGTATTCGGAAGAGCGGGAATCAAGAAGATAGTCTCTTCAGTCAAACAGAGGTAGATTTTAATTCTAGTTCCATCACTTGCTTGTTGTAAGATCCTGAGCAAGTTGCTGAGCTTCATCAAACGTCAGTGTTGTTACCCTTTTATAAAAATATGGTCAAGATACCCGCTTGTGTCAGGCAGGGTCTAATCAAGAAAACAGAAATCACTTTAAGTATTTATAATAAGGGAATCTCTTACAGAGCTTTTTGTCAACAGGTGGTGGAAAAGCCAACAGAAGATGCTGAAGAAACTCAGAAATTATCAACCACTGTAAGCTGGGGGGAAAGGAGAGGTGCCCCCAGGAAAGCTGTCAGCCTGTCTGCTGCAGCACAAGTTTAAAGAGAAAAACAGTCATATGTCAACCTTAAATTAACTCTCTTCTCCTTTATCCTAGCCCTCAATCAATAATATTCATGAAACTGTGGGCTTAAAACATGACATTTTTTTCTAGTCCAATGAAAATGCATTTGCAACTTTTTAAAATAAAAACATTTCTAATGCATATTAAAACAACTACATAACTTTTAATAAGAAAATGTTTGTCTCAACTTTGGAAAGAATTGGGAAATTTAAAGTGCTTAGTATTAGGTACCTGTAGTAAGCATTCATCCATTAATAAGTAGCTGCTATTTTTATTATTAATAATTATTGTGAACAATAATAATAGCAGCACTCTTGGGCAATTGTGAAGCCCAAGACTCGTTCTAAGCATTTGTCAAGACAAGGACTCATGTATAAGTGGGTCTGACAGAGAAACGCATGGAAAATGGGACAAAAATTTAGTCTGGATCTCCAAAGCAATAGAGAAGCTCACTTTCTAGGAATGAGCAACATGGTTGCATTAGCACTACTTCTTCCACGGTCCTGAAACCATAAGAACAAGACTTGTTCTAGCTCTTGAGTGGAACTTAACCTGCAGATGGGCACAGGAGACCATCCAAAGACAAGGGAGAAATCTACATAGAGAATCCAGCAGGTCAAGACATTCACCACTTCGATGGGAAATAACTGTGAACAAATTTGACGGTGAGTGTTATGTGATCAAGTAATGTACACCCAGAGAGTTGGATTAAACCAGATGGAACCAGAATTAGCATGTGGGCCTCACACAGCAGAACTGGGTCCTCCAGACTAGGCTACCTCGCTGATCCTCATCTGCCTGTGTTTAACAGAAATGTTCACAGAAATGTTTGGAGCAAGGCTAACAGTCCCGGGACTTGTTCTTGGCATATTGTTTTAACAGGCAAGAAGAATCTGAGAGCCAACCAATAACCATTACCAAGTCCACTTTTCTTTCTGCTCTCTATATATCATACATACAACAAAGTGGGTGCTTTAAAATAACTGATGATTTTTGTATTACTTCCTCTCATCTCAAACAAGCATATCCTGCTGAAGAGTCTCCATCACCTTAAATGCAGCGTGAAATAGCATCCAACTATACTTAAATACTAAAGAAAAGATGATGCCTTAGAGGGGATTAAAACAAAGATATAAAAATGAGAATGCCATTCTGAGACAGGGACACATCGGTTGGTAAAAAGGACTTTAAGACTGTATTCATTAGAAAGGAAAAAAGGTCAGAGTTACATGGAATGAAAAGTGCCCTTTCCAGGCAGATTCCTGAACCTAATTTATCTTGCTTCACTAAGACAGGAAATGCACCACAATATTCAGGATCGGGGGGAAATGACAATTTAATGATTACAGAACATCTTTCACGTTCCGTGGTAATTGAACAATCTCAACATCAAAGGCAGGGCTGGTAGCCTTTCAGAAAATGGAACGTCGTTTTGCTTTCCTTTTCACTTTTTACTGCATCAGTGAACTTTAGCATCTTCTCCGGCTTTATTTTTCCATTTTCATTTAGCACTGACACAAAACAGACCTGGCTTTAAGTGTACCATGCAAAGTAGTAATGTTGGAAACTTTAAATGGATGAGGCAGAACCACTTTCGTATCTGTTACATTTTAATTACCTTAAATATATCCAGCTGAACAAAGTTCAGACCTTTGCTGCTGCAGGTGAGGGTAGTATGACATAACAGACATCCTATTTCCCAACCACCTCGCGAAGGGGAATATACGAGCTGTCATCTCTAAGGCATGCCATTCACCCAACAAACCAATTTTCTATCTATAATGTTAACGGCACCACTGAATTTTGGAGCTTCTTTTATATCAACAGTTCTTTATATTTTCCCCAAGCATGATTTGATAACTCTAGGGGGTAGTGAGGCCATAATACTGGACTCAGGGAAGGTATCCATTTAAGACAATTATAAATTCCCAATATCTTTGCTTTTCTTTTTCTAATACTAAACCCAAAAAAATCTTATTTAAAGAACAGTTCTCACACAATGGAATTTTAGGGGTAATAAGCATTTCTCTTTGGCTATAACTTGATATCAATGATCTTGATGAGAAGAGTGCCTGCAGAAAACTGGTATTGATTAAATAATGGTGATTAACAGGTGAAATTGGGAGATGAGGTATACTGGGGTTTTATGTTTGTTTGATTTTTGTGGGTTTTGTTTGGTTTCTACCATAATTAACCACAAACCAACACAGATTTTGCAAATATTTGCATTGCACACAATGAAATTTTGCCTAAGGGTAAAAGTGAAGTGCAGTTAATATTATGGAACTCATGAGGGAATTTAATAGTCGCCTCTCTTACTGATGTTCAAATCCAGGACGTGAGTCCTCAATTCTTCCTACCTGCCCTCCAACTCCTTTTGAAAGGGCCTTGAAATCAGCATCTAGCAGAGAAATAGAACAAGGAAAGACGAACGTTCCCCTGGATTCCAGGAAAAAGATGGCCAACTTCCTTCCCTTCCCTTTGTCCCTAGATACTGTGAAATTGTGGTTCGCTCTTAAGTGAGAGAAGAGAGCTGCTTGTTTTGCTTATTTTCGTTTTTGGAGTTATAAGCCATTTGATGTAGAGAACCACTTAGAATATCATGATTTGTCATTTTCCTTAGGACTAGAGTGCCTTCAGCATAGAAAACCCTTTTGACTGATTTTCTAAAAGCAGTATGAAAACAACACATGAGGAGCTTACTGCTTAACGGGTGGCCTAGGATTTTAGGGAAAGGAAATTAATGAACACTCTGAGGTTTTCTGCGGCACTGTTCAATACAGCTTGCCAGAATGGAAAAGGTGATAGACATGGATTCCTATATGATGTATCAGTCAGCTTTTGCTGTGTTAAAGCTACCTAACAGCAAAGCAAAAATCACAGCGGCTTACAACAACAGGCATTTAAGTCATGCTCACCGATCTGCAGGTAAGCTTTTTTCAGAAGGAGTTAGCTGGGCTTCTCTGGGCCAGACTAGACTTCCAGCTTTAGGTCAGGTATAAGTCTTGTTTCTGGGATGAGACGGAAGGAACAATGACTACCGGAGTAGTCTCTGGAGGGAGCACAGCCCTGTACATACCTTGACTTTAACCTAGAGAAGCTGAATTTGGACATCTGGCCTCCAGAATTATGGCAGGATACATTTCTGTTCTTTTACCATGGCATACGATGCAGCCACAAAAAAGAACAAGATCATGTCCTTTGCAGGAACATGAATAGAGTTAGAAGCCATCATTCTTAACAAACTAACACAGGAACAGAAAACCAAATACCGCATATTCTCACTTAAAAGTGGGAGCTAAATGATGAGAATACATGGACGCCATGTATTCTTAAGGGTGGAGGGTGAGAGAGAAGGGAGAGGATCAGGAAAAATAACTAATGGGTACTAGGTTTAGTACCTGAGTGACAAACCCCTATACACAGCAAACCCCCATGACACAAATTTACCTATGTAACAAACCTGTATCTGCACCCCCAAACCTAAAGGTTTTAAAAATCAATAAATAATTTTTAAAAAGAAGATTAAATTAAAAAAAAACAAATTTCTATTGTTTTAAGCTGTGTTGTGATACTATGTTACAGCAGCCATAGGACACTAACACAATGCCCTCCTTTAATTATTGCCTTCTTTAAAGAAATTTAAATATCGAAAGAGAAAGTGTTTAGGCAGATTAAATTTCCAAAAAAGAGGGAAAGCACAAGCAATGCCCTCAAGTTCCCAGTGTGACCACAGTCCAATAGTTAATGAGCTGCGCACATGACCTAGTGATCTCTGTTCATTTCAGACAGGAAGATTTTCTAATCTCTACATTACATTCTAAGCCGATTGGTCCCCCTGTTAGGATTACCAGCAAGGAAACCCACAAGAGGATAGAAGGTTGTTTTTTTAAATTAACATTAACTGTCTCTGAATGAGATGACACCTATACTTACTTAAGTCGATAAAACTCAAAAGACTTATGGTTTGTGTGTTTGTGTTGGGAAGCAGGTGGAACAACTAAAGCCTTCATAGATTTTCGGTGAACAACAACTCTGGAAAACAATTGGCAATTACCTGCAAAGTTAAACACAGCCAAGCGATTTCACCTCTAGGCATTTGCTCAAAAGAAATTAAAATATATGCCCATAAAAAGATGTATACATAAATGTTTGTAGAAGCCTAATTTATAAAAGTCAAAAACTGGAAACAACCCACATATTCATCAACAGGGAATTGGATGTATTCATATAATAGAATACTACAGAATAATGTAAAAGCAAAATATTGATATATGCAACACAGCAGGTGAATTGCCTCTTTGTCCTGAAGGAGTTTCAAAGTGTCCTATGGTTACCAGTGGGTACTAGGCTTGATCCCTGGGGTGACAAAATAATCTGTATGACAAACACCATGACACAAGTTTACCTACATAGTAAACCTGTACATGTACCCTGGAACTTAAAAGTTAAATTAAAAAAAGAAAGAAAGAAAATGTTAGCGTAGAGAATAAGTTTGGATATTTACATTACATTGAGTGAAAGAAGTCAACATAAACATAAAGCGTATACTGTATTATTCCATTTGTTTGAAGTTCTAGGACAAGGAGGGTTAATCTATAGTGCTAGAGATCAAATCAGTGGCTTCGTAGGGCAGGGATGGGGGGCTGGCTGCAAAGGGACATCTGGGAAGTTTCTGACTGATAAAAAAATCATAAATTAGGGGAGGGGACAGTGGCTCACAGCTGTAATCTCAGTGCTTTGGGAGGCTGAGGTGGGAGGACTGATTGAGGCCAGGAGTTTGAGGTTACAGGGAGTTGTGATCACACCACTGTATTCCAGCCTGGGTGACAGAGCGAGAACTTGTCTCTAATAATAATAATAATAATAATAATTAATGTTATATATGTGAATCAGTGAGACACATCTACCAAGCTCATCCAACTTTATATTTAATATCTAATATTTTATTGTATGCTAATTATACTTTAATAAAATGACTTTTAAAATCTCATAATTAAATGAGCAGCCATCAAAGCTTTCCAGAAATTTGGCATGTAAATGAACAATAGGTGATTCGTTGCTCCATGACTTCTCCTTCCCGCACTAAGTTAGACATCATCTGAGGTTTCAGGAAGTGCCCCTTTCATTCTTTGTTTACCCTGCAATGGACAAACTATGGAGCACCTATTTCAACTTGGTGATGTAGCAGTCGCAAGACAGCTTTCTTCTAAATTCTATGCTTTCCAGCCATAACCAGAGTTTCATGTTATCATATATGCTCAACAGAGGCCCATAATTAAGAACGCCTTGGGAGAAATTTCCAGAAAGAAACAGGAGGAAAGGAAAGAAAACCAAAACACTGTTTTGAAGCCACCATGCAAAAGAATACGACAAAAAAGGCAGTTAGTAATTATTAAGAAAAATCAAGAAAGAGACATAGCCTGGTCTTGAAGGCATTCAGTTCAGCAACTTAAGATTAGACACTTAATCATTTTTCAAATATATGTATAAGGTGAGGGGATAAACATTCAATATATTTCACAGTAGCTCTTCTATCATTTTTCCCCTGGGAAAAAGAAAGCCCAGGCTTAAGGAAATTGCAGCTAATATTTTACATGGGTTTATTTTATACCTGTTGTCTTACTTGCAGTACAAGTTACCACCACTGAGAAACAGAAGAAAATGGCACAGGGAGGGGAACATCACACACTGGGGTATGTTGGGGGTGGGGTGGGGGGGGACTAGGAGAGGGATAGCAGGGGGTGGGGAGATGGGGGAGGGATAACATTAGGAGAAATACCTAATGTAGGTGACGGGGGGACGGATTCAGCAAACCACCATGGCATGTGTATACCTGTGAAACAATCCTGCACGATCTGCACATGTACCCCAAAACTTAAAGTATTAAAAATAAAAGACTGAATGATCATACCACTGTGCTCTTGTCTGGATGACAGAGCAAGACTGTCTTAAAAAATTAAAACAAAATTAAAAAGTTGCCAAATGAAAACAAACAAAAAAGACAGAAATAAAGAAAATGGCACAAAAAAAGAAGGAAACGAAAAACCCAGAGATATGTCTTCTAAAATTTGCAGTGTTACTATTTAAGACTGGCAAAAGCAATATTTGATGAGAGAAGTTGATCCCAAACTATAGCCTATTTGAGAATTACCTGGAAAACTTGTTAAAACCTGTTAAAAGCCCAGCCCCAGAATTTCTGGTTCAGTAGGTGTGCTTCTCTATGATGTCCTCAAGTGATGCTGGTCCAGGGACCACACTTTGCAAACCACTGTGGCAGGTTAATGGGCACTGGTTTCCCTAATACTAACTCCTCCATTCCTCCTCATTTTCCATCAGAAATGGTAATAGGCCCTTCTTTGAAATAAAGATCAGGCAATAATTCCCTGATTTTCAGACACAGAAGGAATTGCTGATTCTAGGAATGGGGCCTGCCATTGTTGGATATCTCTAGTTCTTCAAGAAACAAGTTTGGCCTCTGGAAACAGATAGATTTGTGAAGAGTATTCCTGCAGAAACCCCAGCTCCCAGCCACAATCCACCAAGAGGATGCCTTCTAATCTTCACATCCTTGAATGATGTAAAGGATACAAAAACGGGAAGGGAGAAGGTTTCACTGCAGTGGAATTCTGAATATTGCTGAGAAAATTGTGAAAGTAGATGGAAATTATCTGGGGAACTCACAGATGAAATTCTGTGGCTCCATGCCAGAAAAAATAACCCATTACAATTAAAAACAAGTTAAATCAAACTGTCTGGGCTTAATTGAGCCTACTTTGAAAGTTTCTCATCAACAAACATAGTGCTTTCAGTAGGTGAGAATGAAATTGTCCAGTCCCTTGAAACTAATTTAAACCCCACCTCTCCCGCCGTTCAGGCAAGGGATGCAAGGCTTTTTCTGACTGAGCAGATGTTGCAAAGTGAAGAGGACAATTCCAGGGATTCGAAATATCACCCAACTCATACACAAGGCAGTACTTACTTGCAGCCAACCACTATCAGACTGTTTTTTTGTAATTGCAATGGCTAGTCCCATGGAGAGGCTACATAACTAACAGCACATATGTGATTGCAGAAAACCTAGTGCTGACATCGTACCAACACATGTACACACACAACTCCAGGGTAATGTCTGAAAACCAACTTGGGACAATTGGGAAAACGGTTTCCATGAAAATCTCAGGAGACCTGAAACATTTATGCAGATAATCAGTACCTACAACTTAAAGACTCATCTTATCCTTCTTCACATCTTATTTCTCTTTAGTGTTTTCAAGTCCATTATATTAATCCAATGACTTCCATGCAAAGGACTCAGAGGAGTCATAGGGAGTGAAAGGTGGCCAAGAGGACGGCAATACTCAAAGGCCACTGGGACTAGGCTTGAGCCCACATCTCCCCTGAGGCCTCTATTCACGCCCACAGATTCTCCTTAGATTCTGAGCACATGCATGAACAGGTAGACAAATGCTAAAGGCCATAAATAAGCTAAGATGAATACAATTTTTTAGAGGAAATGGAGAGGAGCAAGAGAAAGCTACGTGTCTTCAAAATCAGAGAAGCAAATAAACAGAACTGTTCTGCCAATGTTTGCTTTCCCCTCTGGCTGTCACAGGTTGCAGCCCAGGCCTGAACTTGCCGGGACTAGGGTGGCTCTTGGTGGCTCAGCCTGTGTCCAGAGGATTTGTCGATTAGTCACAGACTTGGTCTGCTGTGTGTCTCAGAAAGGGCCGTGACTCATCTTGACAACTATCAGTACATTACCTCAAATGGGCACAGGGAGAGATGAGCAACCTGGTGCCGGAAAAGAACACAAAAGGGCTGATGCCACTTCCTGCAACCCTTTCAAGCTTTGGGCTAGAAGAGTTTATGTGGCAAGAATGCTAAGCTGGGAGCAGCCCCACAGAAAATGACCATGTCAGCATACTCAACATCCTGCCATTCAGATGTAAGAACGGGCGATGTTAGCTCAGAGGACGTGAAGTTTATTTCCAAAAATAAAAATGTTACGTTTCTTCACCTTATTCACTTTCCCCAAACAGAACTTCACACTTCAAAAAATTAGCTTTTGGTTTTATAATTCAGTCAATTCTGCATATGGGACTCAAATACTATGATTTTTTTAAATGTACATTTATGACCCAGAAATTCCACACTTAGGCATATTCCTATGAGAACTGTATGTGTTCACTGGAAGATATGCACTAGAATGGCTCTAGCAACATTATTCATAATAGCTTTAAATTGGACATTGCCCAATTGCCCATCAACAGTGGAATGGATAAATGATTAGTGTATATTCACGCCACTGAACTACTACACGGCAATGAGAATATACAACCACATACAATGATATGGATGAATCCCATAAACACAGCTTTCAGAGAAAGAAGCCAGACGTTAGAGATCCACTTCGTATAAAAATAAAAATAAGCAAAACTAACCTATTCTGCCAGAAATCAGGAGAGAGATTACACTTGGTCAAGGAGGAAGAAGAGGAAAAGTTTCAGGAAGGAGGGGCTAAAAAAGAGCTGTTCCTGGATCTTGATGTTGGTTACACATATATTCAGTTTGTCAAAGCCATCAAGCCATTGCTTATGACATATTCACTTCTCTGCACGTGTGTCAGACTTCAATACAAAATAAGCACATTCATGCAAAACACCTATTCAGTTGTCTTTGTCAAGATTTGTAAACTAGAATGTGAATGTAATAAGCAGTGGAAATAAATGCTGGTAAAATCTGCCACATAAACTATCCTGCTCCAATTGTCATATCTGTAAAACAGAGCAAAAGGACACGTAGCACAAAGGGTTAGTTCCCTGCACAAATCATTGTCCTTATAAGTGTCTTACACCAGCGAAGGTGCATCTTCTAACAGTAAGGAAGTGATGCATCATTTCGCCATCCACAAACAGAGGAAAGGACCATGAGGTATAGAGTATGTCTTCCTCCCGAGCTTTCCTGTGGGGAGGTAGGAAGATACATTTATCATGAATGTCTCTTTCTTCCACCCTTAGATCCCACTCCAAAGATTAAATGTAATCAAGGGAGACATCCAATCAATAGAAAACTCATTTTGGCTAGATAAATGACAAATGGGACAAATGAAACCCATAAATCATAGTTTAAGCCTTAGCCAAAATTGATCAGAGAAGTCTTTTCCTGAAAAAGAAAGCTTTCTTCTCTGTAAAGGGCAGCATGCTCTGGATAACAATCAAACTCCTTGACTGACCCTTCAGGTGGGGATGTGTTTCTGTAGAGATAGCCTCATGCAGTTGCTAAAAGGCCTACTATCCTTCAATAAGAAGTTCCAGGACTAGTGAATCACATAAATTATTTCAAGTCTCTGAAGTGAAAACTCCAAATAATTGAAGCATATCATTTTAAGCATAAAAATTTTCACTTTAAACATGTTAAATGGAAATACCTCTAAATTATTTCAGAATTGGCATTCAATTGCAAATACAACCTGGAATATGAACCCCAAGACATTAAGAACTTTTTGAGTTCAAAGCCTTAAAAGTGGCTAACAGAGCCAGGGCAGGAGGCAATCTTAAGATTCTTTAATATTTTAGCTCTTGAAATAAATAAAAATCATAGATATAGTGTCCATCTCTTCCAATGCTTCCCAATTACTGCCATAATAAGTAGCTATAAAGAAATATAAGAGGTTGTCAACTCCAACATTCTCCTTCTATAGGTGAAACCTATTGGTAACCTATTGAAGATCACTCAGTAAAGAGTGGCAGAGCAAGAATTACAGCCAGGTTTCCTAACCTCCAAATTAGCCTCCATTCTGCCACAGGACATGGTCTCTCCCATGAGTCTATAAACTGTCTCCCTGAACCAGAGTCCAGGTCAGGTGTCCCTCTCAGCCTGCACTGTAGGGGAATGAAGAATGATGCTGGCAGAAGTGGACAGGGGGAGAAACACTATAGCCCCAGACAGAAACCAATGGAATTCTCAGAAGCATAAACCTCTTCATTTACTGAAAATGTATATTTCAGGAACTTAGCAAATAATTGGTTTCAAAAATCAAACAGAGTTTAATTTTTAAAATGTTTATTTCTCAGCCTTGGGATTGTGATACGTAAAAATGCAACTATCTTCAAAGATAGAAAACATATACAGATATCATTAAAATGGAAGAACTCAGAATATAGAATCATAGAGCAGTGCCCTCCACCAGCTCCCAGCTAACTGCAGCTGCAAGCATGATTCTCACGCTCTCTTGTACCTAGGGTTCAACTAGTGACCCAGCTTCCTCACTCATGGGAAGGGCCATCAGCAAATGGCACTCAGGCATGGGAGCTTGAGAAAAGATTTCCACACACTCGAAGTCATGTTAGAGACATCTCATGAAAAGATTAGGTGGGTTACCCCTGGCTTTCTCCCCCAGAATTTATCAAGACTGATAATAAAGTCAATGTATTGTAAGCCACACATACAAGTTGTGGAGTGACGGAAAGAGTGACTTTTTCGAGTGTCCTGTCTTATAGGCTTTAGTTAAATTATTCGTGGCCTTGGATTGAGGGCAGAATTTTGTAGTTATTTTTTAATAGAACGAAATTTATGTTGGGGCCTCTTTGTCAAAAATTACTCCTGCTGATAAATTACATGCCTCACAATAATAAACTCAACATGTTCCTTCAAATTTCTACCCAGACAGACAACTTATTGGTACTTAGAAACCTCCTTGTCTTAGTTTGAACCAGGTTAATTTTATATTACACTAATCATATTACAATAAAAGAGCGGAGGCTAACTGCTGCGATAAAGTAGAATTTCTGTTCAGAAACTGTATTTTTAGTTAGCGCTGTCTTCACAAGGCTTATTATTCAGTAGTCTCCTGACTCATCCCGTAAAATGTATTAAAGTTTTATTTTAAATTATTTTAAAGTTTCTTTTTTCATTTCTTTATTACACTTTAAGTTCTGGGGTACATGTGCAGATCGTGCAGGTTTGTTACATAGGTAAACACATGCCACGGTAGTGGTTTGATGCATCCATCTCCCCATCCTGTACATTCGTATTTTAAAGTTTCTTAAATCTTATTTTACCAATTAGCTCTTGGTGTATTCCAAACCACCCCAAAACATCACGTCTTTAAATAACAACTATTTATTTAACTTACGATTCCGCAGACCAGCAATCTAGGCTGGACTCAGCTGGATGTTTCTTTTGTCTTGGCTGGGCACCATCATGTGTCTGTAGTCCCTGAGGTAATCTAGGCCATGGTGAGTCTGGAAGTTGACTGGCTATTGGCCGAGGCAATGGAGGTGACTGGGCCATGGGGCTCTCATCCTCCAGTGGGGCTAAGCAGGAGGGAACAGAATCTTCCAAAACTTCTTGAGGCCTAGGCTTAGAACAGGCACATCATCACTTCTCTCACATTCTCTGGTTAAAGAGAATCATAAAGCCAGTCCAGAGTCAAGTCTAGGGAATTAGAGTCGATCTCTTCAAATGAGCAACCACAAAGTCTCAATTACCAAGAGTGTAGATACGGAGGAGGCTATTAACAGGGACGAAAAATGCGATCAGTCTTTCACATTTTAGTCTCTTCTTTTTTCTGCTAATTATACACAGTTACTTAAATAGTACTGAAAATAAGATATCAGCAGAAACAGTTCACTAGTACATTTTTCAAGGATTTTCTATCTTCCATCTAAAGGTGGTCATATAGCCATAATCAGGTTACAATTTTATATGAAAATCAAAAATGTTTTTCTTAGAAGCATTACCTCAGCAGACCTGTGACTCTTGAGAGTGGAAAGCTGTGTGAATTCAGGATTGTTTTCACAGTATCTGCTGGAGAGCACTTAGTGGTCACTCCATAAATGTTGGTTAGTTGATAAGTGGCAAACTCCTCTATAGGAAGGAACTCACCTCTTTCCTATCCTATTTTCCACTAGTATCCTCCTAACATGTCGTCTTCTCTAAATGCATGCATTAATAGTTTATCTTTTAATAGGCATGTATTAAAAGCTAATCTGGGCTGATGCCTATAATCCCAGCACTTTGGGAGGCCAAGGCGGCTGGATCATGAGGTCAGGAGATCGAGACCATCCTGGCTAACACAGTGTAACTCCATCTCTACTAAAAATACAAAAAAAAGAAAACAAAAAAAAATAGCTGGGAGTGGTGGCACACACCTGTAGTCCCAGCTACTCAGGAGGCTGAAGCAGGAGAATCACTTGTCTCAAAAACAAACAAAAAGAAAGCTAATCTGTTTTATTCATTCATGTAGTAAACACATTATATTATACAAATGTGTCATACATACACAAATCTTACGTCTTCTTGGTCTTTTTTGTGCTATCAAACACTTTGTTCTGACACTAACTTCTTGAATGCTACTCTGCCATCAGGCCTACATATCTCCTCTATAGCCTTAAGCTCAGGGAATCTTAACCTGAGCTGCAAACTGATATCACCTGAGGTGCTTTAAAAAAATACTGATGCCTGGGACCAACCCAGAATCTCTGGTTTGATTGGTCTGGGATGTGGCCTAAAGGATGCCATTTTTAAGCCTCCCCAGGTGACTACAATGTGCAGCCAAAATCCAGAACCATCAAATTTGTGGGTTCTTAGACATCACTCACTTAACGAAGACTTTGATGACACCACCCCACCTCCCACCCTCAAAGCCACTTCCTGTCATGTGCTCTGGTATCACACATCTTTTCTTTCTGGAAATTATCTGATGTGACAGCTGGGAACTTTGTTTATTTATGTCTTTATTTGACTGTGTATTTCCCAAGGAATGCTTTAACTTTTGTTCTGCGTAGTAACACCTATATGTACAATGGGAGCTAGCACATAGGAGTCATCCAGAAATCACCTGTTCAATGCATTATTCTAATGCACCGTAAGAACCCAATTTATGAATTACAGCTTAAATTTAATGAGTGAGAGCAGGTGTTCTCAGTCTTCGTCCTAAATTAGAATCATCTGAAACAGCAACCTCCAACCTTTTTGGCACCAGGGACCAGTTTCATAGAAGACAGTTTTTTTCATGGATGGGGTGGGTGGAAGGGGGAGATGGTTTCAAGATGAAACCGGATGTCACTGATCTGACAGAAGGCAGAGCTCAGGCAGTAATGCTCACCTTCCCTCACCTCCTGATGTGCAGCCTGGTTCCTAACAGGCCACAGACTGGTAATGGTCCTCGGCCTGGGGGTTGGGGAGACCCTCTGATCTAAAAGGTCAATTAACACATAGCTTGCTCCACCCCATCCCCAGAGCTTCTGACTCAGTAATTCTAGGAATAGACCCAAGAATTTGAATTTCTAAGAAGTTCCCAGTTGATACAGATGCTGATGCTGTTGGTCCCTGGATCACAGTCCATGGACTTTGTTAAGAGACAACAAAACACACATCAAGATGTATGGCCTGTAGCACCAGACTGCCTGATTCAAATCCCAGCTGTGGTGCTATGTGGCATTGAAAAAGATGCCCAGCCTTCTAAGTGCTACATTAACAATGTTGCCATGGGAAAATGCTTGATCCATGAGTGCCTCCATTTCTCCACCTGTAAAATGGAAACAATACCAGAACTTACCTCCTCAATTTGCTTTAAGGATTAAATAAATTTATACTTGCAAAATGCTTAAAAGAGTGCCTGACAGGTAGGCAGCATTACATAAATATATTAATGTTTAATAACAACCCCAAAAAATGCCTTTTAAAATTTTAATCCTACATGTTAAATTAAAAACAAACTACACAGAGAGAGAATCACTATGGCATCTGAATCTCAAAGTGTGATACATCAGATTTACAAGCATCATTATAAATGCCTGTAATTGACCACCTAGTCTGTGCTGGCACTTAACCAAGTATCTTATTTTCAATTTCAAAAAACAAAGTAGTTGTTTTCCATTAAAATATGAAGAAACTAGGGCTCAGAGAAGTAGTGACTCAGAGAGTAACTGAGCTTGAAAATTCTAGAATTGAGGTATTAAAAATCTCTCTAGAAGTTTGCAACAAGAGAGTTAGATGATGCATAATTTAGAATTCTTTCAGTCACAAGTAATAAAAAACCCAGTTAAATTGATTTAAGCAGAGAATTACTGGCTCATGTGTCTAAAAATTCCAGGGCTTCCTGCAAGCTTCAAGTACAACTGGATCCAGCAACTCAAATCTGGATTTCATGCTCTCTCTCATCCTCTCCCACTCTTATTCTTTCCTTTCCTCTCTCTCTCCACTTCCTCCTCTCTTGGGCTCTCCTGTCCTTGTCTTAACTTCACCCTCAACTAAGCCCGTCCACATGGTGACCCCCAAAAGATCAAGGTTAATGCCATCTTTATAGCTAATGATCACACTGAGTCTTCACCACAATTCAAGCAAAAGTTCTGGAATTGAGCCTCACTGAGCTAAGGTGAATTTCATGCCTTTGACAAACCCATTGGCTATAGTTGAGGGTATAAGACATGCTAATTCAGCTGGACTGGGTCATGAATCCACCCTTAGGGCTGGGAAAGTAACCCTCTGGAGGACAAAGAGGACTTATTGTTGAGCAAGCATGACTTTCCAAAAGAAAACCAAGAAACTGTTAACCAAAGAAGGAAAATGGGTGCTGATTTCTGAGCCAACATTTCCTCACAACGTCTCCTGATCTCCTCCTGGAAGGCCACTGGGCTGGAAGTCAGACAATCTGGGTCTGGTTATTTTGACTTTTCCAAGCCTATCATTTTCTCTTGGCTTTATTTTCCTCATCTATTCAATGAAGGAGTTGGCTTGGAATTCTAGGATTCCTCTTATCAGCAAAGTTCAAAAATTTCCATGTACATATGTCTTCTTGACCCAACATGAATGTCACCAAACATAATCATTTTTAAAAAATTTTTGATTGAAGGAAAGAACCTAAAATGAGCCTGGGAATCACAAGAAGTGAGCAAAGTAGAAAGATACAGAGGTGAATTAGTCAGGAATGGTAACAGCAGTAGCACCATGTTTGTAAGCAATAGGTGAGTGCTAAGGCAGAAGTAGGGACATTTGGCTAGCAGTAGAAAGGCTGGAGGAGATCGGGGAGCGATGCATCATTAGAGAAAAAGCTTCTGAGAGAAAGTGATGCTTGAGATGATTCTTTAAAAAGAGTGGAAATTGCCTTGTGACTAGAAATGGATGGGGCATTTCTAGCTAAGGAAACATGAGGCATGGTGGTGTATAAAATGGCCAGGAATTACAGCCTGTGCAGTAGAGGGTTTGGTGAGAGACCTAGCTGGAAGGTAGGCTAAGGGCAGACCATGGAAGGCCCAGCTTTCCATGTTGGGAAGTGTGGACTGTATTCTGCAACAGAAGATGGGAAAGCAGAAGGGAGGGAGGTAAGCAAGGGTGCCATGTCAAGAACTTGGCATAGATTATCAATATAATCCTTGCCACAATCCATTAATAAAATGGACATTTATTATCCCTATTTTACAGATAAGGAAACTGGGGCTTAGATAGGGTTAGATAATATACTCCCAACTGCTGGAATGCTGGCAGTGTGTTAATGAAATTGGAGCTCTTACCCAGTTCATCTGATGAGTTCAATGCTAGTATTTCTTCCATTATGCCCTTGACATCTCACCTGTCTTCCATTTCAGAGGATTACTGCAAGGACTAGATTTAGATCTCAACATGTAGGAATTTGAATGTGATTGGCTGAAAATATCAGCACTCTTCTTAGTGTCACCCATAACACTCCCAATATATTTAGCAGTTAGTATTCTTCAATCAGCTAAAAAGAAATTATTTTTAACTCATGATAGATAATGTAGTGTTTGTGAAACTTGGTTAGTAACTAAGAGAGACACCCTTGGCAATTTCACAAAGTGTCTAACTGGTTACTTCTGCAAACAAGTCACTGAGAAAAATTTCTGGAAAGAGGGCAGGCAGTCTTGGAGAACAACTACAATTCCAAATATAGAAATATATTTAAATCAAGTAATTTTTGTAATTGAACCAATGGACATAGGCCACCATGTGAGCTTGCCACGAACCATTGTTAGGATAAAAATTTCCCAATTCTTTGTTAAGTTCACAAATGCTTGGGCTGCCTAAGAATTAGGAGGTTTAAATTCAGATTTAGAAATTAAAGATGACAATCCTGTCATAGCCATGGGCGTGAAACCAGTTAGCTATCAGCTTTGAAAAGCTTAACAGACTAATTTCCTCTTTTCCTTTGATCAAAAATTAAATTTAAAAAAAGTTAATTCAATTTTTTTCACTTAATGTCATCTTGTCACCTTCATTTGCACTGCCAGGATGCAGAAATCTGTCTTACCTACTTCAAAAAACACAGTGAACAGCAGCCTGTCTCAAACCATTCCTTAAAAAAGAGAGCCTTCTACTTAAAGTATTGATTCTGTATCTCTCAAAATAATCAAAATGATTACCACAGTAAAACTTAATGTCCCAGCTCTAAATGTGTCATTTACAAATTGCTCTTTGATTTGAGATGTTTTATAACAGCACAGCAAGGTTTGCAATACAGTGAAAGTATAAGAACCTATAAAGAATTATGTAATCACTATGTCCTGTACACAAAGTGTTGGTTTTGGATTGCTAACAAATGTTCAAGCTCCCTTGGAAAAAAAAAAAAAAGAAAGGAAAAGAGAAATAACAAGTTGTGGGGCCAAGAGGATGAGTGGATCGAGTGTCAGCGTTTATGTTTAAGCAGCGTGGATTGGCTCCAGCCTGAGGTTAACTTAGAATTAAAATGGAACTGGTGGTCTTGCCTTGGCAGACAAGAGGTTATAACAAATCTATGACCACATACATACAGACACCACGGTCGCCAGCTAAACCACACACATGTGGCACACTCAAAGAGCTTCAGTGAGGCAGTTACCAACATAAGCGGGATCCTTTTTCTTCCCTTTCTAGGAGACAGAGCAAACCGTAGCCTCTCACATAGCAATTAAAGGAACCTCCCTCAGAGTTAACACCTAGAATTTAAATTAACATTATTAATACCTAGAGAAAGTTCACTCTCAGTAGAAAAGCAACCTATATATTACCAACCAATCATTTACCTGCCTAGAAAAGTGATAGTGAGTTTCCAAAAATGCACTATCTTCGGGCTGTTTACACAAAGACTTCCTTGCTTTTCTTGAATCTAATGAGTAAGCATGTTTCACACCCTCTGGGTATCTGTCTTGGAAAGTCAAACTCATTGACCACTCCTGAAGCAATCAAGATACAAGACACCACTAATTAAAGCTTTATTGAAGGAAACCACAGGTTTGTTACTGGATATTCTTCAGAAGGCAGGAGAGGTGGGAGGAAGCCCCACTATCAATGGGAGGCCAAGGTAAGGGATAGAGACAAGATCTGTTATGGCATCTGCCAATATGTTCACATGATGGGTCCCAGGTTACGGTCGGCCCTGACAATTCTTGTGTTCACCGAAGAAACATCCATAAGAAGAAGAAGAAAGATAAAGCTGAATAGGGTATCACACCCTACCAAGACAAGAACAGAGGAATTATGAAATGTTCAGAGGACGGTCTCACCTGTGCTGTTCTACCAGAATTCTGTAGAGTTTAACTGGTTTTCCTTGGATCATGCAATGTATCTGTTATCCCTTGCTATATAACAAACTACCCCAAACTTACTGCCCTAAAACAACCAAAATTATTACTTACAAAATTGTAGGTTATTCAGGCAGTCTTGCTGAGCTGAGCCAAGCTCAGTTGAACTTGGCCATGTTCATCCACGGCCAAGATCAGCTGGAGACGGAAATGGCCTCACTCTAGGTGTCATGGCTGGGTACCTATTGGCTTGGACAATGGAGGTGACTAGGCCATGTAAGTTAGACTTAACTAGGACTCATGGTGTTATTAGCATCCCAGGAGAGTTAGCAGAGGTGTACAAAGTCCCCTGAGAACTAGACTTCACTTCTGATTTGATTGGTGAAAGCAAGTCACAAGTCAAGCCAGATTCTGGGGACAGGGGGATAGACTCCTCTTTCTGAGAGTTGCTGTAAGCTCACATTACAAGGAATGGGTTACAGAAAAGTAAGATTTGGGGCCATTTTTACAGTCAACCTGTCACATCCATTTAATCAGTAGTAAAGCTAGGAGAAAATATTTCTATTTCAAATTTTCAGACTCTTTCTACTACCCCACACTGAGTTACAAAAACTCTAACCCCTATTTGATCTAATAGGCATCAAGAAATATAGAGTATGCTGGCTTTAGGGTTAGACTCTCTGGCTTGTTACATGCTTTCAGCATTTCATTGACGTATGACATTGTGTAAATTACTTAAGCCATCTGTGGCCTTCGTTTCCTCATCTCTAAAGTTGATTTAATAATGAAACTCAGTCCTCAAGTCTCTGTTAAGGACTAAACAATATACGTGATGTTTTGAAAACATGATCAAAATACACATCTCGTCATCATCATCATCATTAACACTGACAAAATGAGCTTCTGGTCCATTTTTTTTCTCCACTCATGTCTCTCCCTCCATTACAAGGCCTATGTTCTTTCTCACCCAAGAACAAGATCTATGTTCTTTCTCACCCAACATCAAGCCAACCCAAGCGGAAAAGAGACCAGCCTTCCCCTACCATGACAATTTTCTGGTAGTTTGTGCACTTAAATTCCCAAGTCGACCTTCAGGCCTAGGGGTTGCCTGCCAGGAGCTCCTTGCCACTTCCCGTAGCCTGAACTCTAAGAGCCTGGGGTTTGCCTTATTTAACTGCGGTATCGTCTGGGATTCCTCAGGCCTGGGAGCTACACTTGGCCAAGACATTTGTGGCCTCTACTGGCTCAGAAATCTGTCCATCCTTGCTCTCACTCAGAAACTCTGTGTGTGTGTGTGTGTGTGTGTGTGTGTGTGTGTGTGTGTGTATCTGTTAACAACCTTTTAGAGTGGGTGCATCTGGCACATGTACTAACACAAACCTCATGATTTGGGGAAAAAAATACTACACACATTCTGCTATGGTGGGCAATAATAATCAGAAAGCCAATTTCTATGTAGATTTGTTCTAGAATAGCCTTATATGAAAATCATAAACACAAACTCAAATAGAATAGATATCAAAAATTATTTTGTCTTTTGCACCTCAATGTAAAAACGCCCCACTGATTCAGATGCACATTAAAATCTGAAAAGCACGAGTAGGCCAGTTCTTCCCCAACATCTGAACATTGCATAATCACACAAAGGGCTTCTTAAAATACAGATTTCTAGGTCCTGTCCCTAGAGATTCTGATTCCACAGATCTGGAAAGAGGCCCCGGATTCTGCACTTCTAACAAATTCCCTGATGCTGCCAATGTACTTTTCTAGGAACCACACTCTGAATAGTGAGGATCAGTGCCTTCATTTCAAATTTGGGAAAATTAGACCTGGGGAAAATGGGTGGGTATGGATGCTAACTAAAGAGCCAATGTCTTAACAATTACACAGAAATTGATACCAGACCCTATATTCAGTGTTTTTTTCCCCAAACATTTTCTGATGGCTGATACTGCTTTCAGCTGGATTTACATCCTTTTGCCTCCTGTTACATGACTTCAATATTTTCACCTTTGCCGTTTGACATGTGAGATTCTTTTCAGTTTCTGACAACCTGTTTCATTTTCTCACTTTAAACTTAAATTTTATTTTATTCCCTGATTTTTTCAATCTTGTCAGAGTACTGAAATATTTTGCTCAAATAATGTTTACAGAATGAAGTTAAGTTTCCTGTTTTAGTCTCCTGAGTCCTTCATACTTCAGACATGTATTCATCTTCCTCAGAACCATTATTACTGATCATCTAAATCCTCTGCATCATCACCATCTACACCTACAACATCATCCACATTATCTATATCATCCATATCTACATCCTCTACATTTACATCATCTATATCTGTATCATCTATATCACCTACATCATCTGCGTTTTCTACATCTATATCATCCATATCTTCTACATCAACATCATCTACATCTATACCATGTACAGCAGCCATAGCAACAGCTGTTTTTACTGTACTTTGAAGATACTCCCTCAGTGGACATGAATTAGTGAGTCAAAAGGAGAGAGGGATAAAAATTTGACTTTGAGGAAAGAGTTTATAAGTCTGAGGGAAGCAAACAGAGGTGACACCTGAGGCACTAAATCATTTTCCATTTCAACCTACACTGCCACTGAACACTGAAGCTCATGGTTCAGGAAAAAAAAATAAGTCAGAATTGAAGAAAGCCACACCTGTAAGACTATTTACCCCAAAAAACTGTTTGGGAATAGTTTAAGTATAAAATATAGTTTAAGACATTTTTAAAGCAAGATTTAAAATACTTTAGTGTATGTTAGATGGGGCTCCAAAACTTAGATGTTCCAATTGATTAAGTACATGCTCCACTCTTTCCTCAGGGCTCGGTGTCACCACTCTTGAAAAGATTTGTGTCCTCAAAGTGCTGCACACTTAGGATGTGTATCCTTTGCTGAATTTGTTATATTTCAATCCCATTTACCTTGATACTTCTAAAAGACATAATCAAAAGAAAGATTGGTACATTCTGATCTTAATCAGGATTGTGTAACAGAATCAATGTCATTTTCATCATAGCAACATCACCATAATCATAAGACCTCATTATGTGAGAATTACTGCAGGCTGAACTTGGTTTTAGATATTTTGTTTACATCATCTCACCTGATGTTATTAATCCTCACATAGCATTTGCCATTATTCTTCCACTTTTATAGGTGAAGACAAGGAATCTGAAAAAGGATACATGGCTTATCTAGGAAAATACAATTTTTAAGTGTCAGAGCCACGTTTTGAAATCAGGAACCGATTCAGGAGCAGAAAAAGCAGGTGCTCTTTTCTCTGTAGGAGGCCACAATTCGCCTACAAAATGGGAAAAAATTTAAACTCCTCTCTACCATTGTACTCTCTGAGTCCAGAGATGGCGTGAAACCTCAGTAGTCAGTCTCTTTGTGTGCTGAGAAACATACATGTGACTTCTGGATTTAATTCAATAGCCTAGAGTTAACCGACAATTCCCAAAATCAATTCCCAACTGAGAAAGAAGAAAAGTAAATTCCTCCTTCAGTATTTCAGCTATCTTCATAGCCAAGTATCTAAGGAAAAAAAATAACAGACTTTAACACTTAAGCAACAAGACCTCCTATATAGTTTCAAGAAATGCACACCCACTTCACAAGCTTGTGCTCATGTGTATATAATACAAGATCTTTTTGTCAATGCTTCTCAAACATTAGGATAAGCAAGAATTAATGAGAACTTGTTTAGACAGATTTCTGGGCTCCAGCCCCAAGAGATTCTGATTCAGTAGATCTGAAGTTAGCCCTGAGAATCTACATTCCTAACAAGTCTCCAAGCGATACTGATACCACTGGTCATTGGACCACACTTGGAGCAGTATTGCTGTATGCCAACATAAACAACGTGGAAAAGATGCTCACAACAGTTTTGTTTAGATACTGAATCTTCTGTCTTGCCACTAACATCAATGGCTACTACCTCAGGATAGGTCCACATGACTATTTGAGAGACAACTGGCCTCCTGTCCCCTACTCCAAACTCTGTTTTCATCATCATTAGTGTCAAGACTGCCATTGTGTCTGTCACAATGGGATGACTGCCCACATGGCTTCCCCAGGGCCTGAGTTCTGCTTTCCCTTTGTTCTGCTCTAAACTGCAAGATCTCTAGGATCCAAATTTCTTCACAGAATGTACATATTGACTACATTTTGGCTTGTTATATGCCAAAGGCGAAAAGTCTAAATCTGTAGGAATTAAAGCCATGTCTTAGAATTTCTTATAGTTTGTTAAATTTGCTTCCCGTTTATTCCCCACCTCTGGACATTTTGAGAAGAGAGCAAACACTATGCTATGTGGAAGGTGAAGGACCCCCACCCGCTCCATGGTGTCCTAAAGCAATTCTGAGCTTCTCCAACGCTTTCTACCCATCTTCAAAAACGCTTCCCCCCACACAGATGATGAGTTCCATCAACTCTCTACCCAAGAGTTTTGAGGCATTCTTGGTAGAAAATCATCTCTGTTGAAGGATGTGAGTAACAAGCTTCCTATGTCAAGAAGTAGCTAATTTTATCACAACCTAGAAAGCATCTAGGTTAAGAAGCAAGACTTTGTCTCTGTCTCCCAGCCCCACAGCTGGTTAAAAACACAAGATATCATATATGGGGTGAGAGCTCACCAGACCCTCAGCTGGCTGTGTCATTCTGGGGTGGGGGGGCACTCAACCATCTTCCTCTTCAGCTGTAACATAGAGACTTGTTTTAAGTGATCCCCAAGATCTTTTCATCTCCAAGAGTCTGCAAACCAATGAACCTACACACAAAAACCAAAGGAAACACCCCCTTTCCAACATACTCTCGGCACAAGTGCTGGTTTTTCTCTAAGAAAATGGAGCCTCATGATGTATGGGTTACAGAGAGATATTGAGCCAATAAAATGTCAGGGAAAAGAAATAGAGGGCAGAAAGGGAAGATACAATGCACCATCAAAGGAGAAAGTATTTGGACTTCTTTTCTCCCTCTGAAGTCTGCAGAGAACAAAGTAACAAAATCCACCGTGGGGTTAGCCAACAATAATATCAATCAGGAATCACTTAGTCCATTTTCATATTCCATTGCTACAGTAGCAAAAGAAAGCAGCCAGTTTCTTTGCAGGGGTACATGGGTAGGTAGTGTCCATCAGCTCACAGAGACACACCCACCCTTCAAACTCAATTTGGCTAAAATGACTTTTTTTATGAGAACTCATGAGAAAATGGTTGACTTCCAGCCCTTCTGTTATCAGAATTGTTTGACGTTGAATTACATGGGCCTGGACTATAAATCTTGACATTAGCCTCAAATGCAAGGCATTTGATGTGTCTGGGAACCTGCCGTAAGAAAGAAATTAGCTGTAAAATAAAGTAAAATGCCTGTTCCCATGGGAAGAACCGGCAGGACTGCTAATAGATCATGCGCTCGTTTGGAAGACACTTGTTCCTTTGGTCAAGCAGCAACAAATATTTTCACTTTCCACTGCCTTGAACAGGAAATATGGTACTGAGGACCAATGGACAGGGCAAGGCCTCATATTAATTACACGGTCAGTAAACATTTGCTCAACCATGTTTCCTAATGTCTGAACGCTTCCTGGTTGGAGTTCAGTGATGCTACCGGCCTCTGTTAACTCATTTTACTGTTGTATAAATGCCTGGGAAGATAAAGTGCATTTTCAGAAAGACCCAGATTGAGAGGAGGATGGGGGTGCAGGGAAAGACAGGCCCTATTCCATCTAAAATATTGAGAGCAGCCCTTGTTTGCAGCCTGTGCTGCGGCTGCCATCTCCTGTAGCCTCCACTAAGAACAGGCATCTATGAACCTGAAGGGAGTGACATGGTGAGGTGATTTGATAGCCTTTAGAATCTCTCCTTCTAATTTTTGGGGAGTGTATAGCAAACAGAGGTTCAGGTTCATTCTAAGGAAGAGAAGAAAACAGGACATCTTAGGAAAGATAGGTAAGTGGCAATCACATTGGAACACCTGCCACTGAAACTGCTCCACTTGGAATTCTCTTCTCTGGGGTAATGGCAAGGATGACAAAGGCCACACCCACCTGCAGCTGCTCCTCAGAGCAGTGGTTCTCAAAGTACAGTTCCCTCGACCAGCAGCCTCGGCATCGCTCCAGGAACATGTTAGAAATGTACAATCTCAGACTCCACCCCAGGCCTGCTCAGTCAGAAACCTTTGGGATAGGGCCAGCAATCTGAGCTTGTAACAAGTTCTCCAAGTGATTCTGATATCCACTCAAGTCTGGAATCCCTACCATGTCGAGATGTTCATATACCTGCTATATACATGCCATCCAGGCCTGAGATCAAACTCTCTGCTATGATCTACAAGGCCCCCATGATCTGGCTGCAGCATACAAGCTCCAGTCACAAATGCCACCTTCACCTACCTATGCTAGACCCAGTTTATGCCCTCCTCGAGGACTTTTCCTGGAACCTGCTCATGCCTTGCTCTTCAACTGATTCAGTTCTTTGTTCAAACGTCAACTTTTGTAAAGTAGCTTCCACCACAGACACCCTTTAAGTACCTGCCAGTAGACACTGTCTAGTATTGTTCTTGCAGCCGTTTTGAGGACAAACTCATGTTTCTCATGAGTTTGTTTACATGTTTAGGGTCCATACTCCCCAGAAAGAATGTAAAGCTCTATTAGAATAGACACCAAATGTTTTATACCTACTCTTCCAATATATGTCAAAAAACGTTAAGCGTAGGCCAAGTGCGGTGGCTTACGCCTGTAATCTCAACACTTGGAGGCTGAGGAGGGTAGATTTCTTGAGTCCAGGAGTTCAAGACCAGCCTGGGCAACATAGCAAAACCCCATCTCTACTAAAAATACAAAGAGTTAGCTTGGCATGGTGGCACATGCCTGTAATCCCAGCTGCTTGAGAGGCTGAGGTGGGAGGACCACCTGAGCCTGGGAGGTCGAAGCTGCAGTGAGGCAAGATTGTGCCACTGCACACCAATCTGGACAACCAGAGTAAGAACCTGTCTCAAAAAAAAATGTTCAGCATCCATATCTTCTTCTCCTGTCCCTTCTCAGAACCTATCCTCATTCACATTGTTATTAATAAATGGAAATATAGAGAAGACAAAATATTTATATTAGAAAGTTTTGAAATTCTAATTTCAGGCATCTTTCAATAAGTGCTGTCTAGCCTTGTAAATGTTTGGCAAGGTCAAATGGGGCCCCTAAAATACCATCCCTTAGGCATCTAACAAGAGGCCTATAATGTTTTCTATAGAGGAGCTCTGATTTAGACAGAACAAATTTGTTCTTATAGAACAGATGTTTCCTTTACCACAAGCAGAAGATTGCGTTTGCTCTAAGAAACTGTCTGTTAAGAGCTAGATAGGCAAGTCACAATCACATTTCAGAGTCTATACTAACTACATATCTAATTATAGAATATGTATTTATATTTTCTCTCTCTATTTTATCTTCATATATATTTCTTAAAGCTCAACTTCAAGACAGAAATGTGAATTTGAAGAGGTGTGACTGAGGATTCTGGGACTCAGCCACAATGCGGCAGGTTATTTTATTGGTCTTTCAACAAAATATGCCTGAATGGCATTAATTTTGCTTCCATAATGGCTTAAATGCATCCAAGAGGCATTAGAGTCACTCAAGCTTAGCAAAGATGGAAGAATAACACAGATGACAATGCGTTTAGAAAGAGGCAGACAGTGCCCGTGCTGGCTCCAGTCCTCTGTCATCAGAGATATGAGCTCTAGGTTGGCCGCTGAGCATTAGCCCATGTAGCCTGAGATGAGTTCATGGGGCTGGAATTCAAAACACTAACCAGCTGTGGGAACCCAGTGAGAAGCCTGTCACACTGAATGGTATCCAGATTAGAGCTGTGAGAATTTGGGAAAACCCTTCTCACTAAATAAGTGTACTTCTTCATCTTCTTTCTTTCTTTCCTTTCTAAGTTTGCAATGTTTAATACAACCCTGAACCCACGGCCATACATATTAGCAATGGAGAAAAGGCAACTCTAAAAATGTTTGTTGAAGCAATGAAGGGAAATTGTAAGACTGAGTGGATGTTGGATGACCTTGTAATTATAATTTTTAGGTGTGATAATAGCATTAGTTTTATGCAGCAAAATACCCATACTCTTTAGAGATGTGGAATGTGGAATGTGGAATGTAGGGGTGAAATAAAATGACACTAGGAATTTGATTTTAAGTAATTCAGAAAAATAATAGAGAGGAAAAGAAATTGATTAAACAAGTGTTGCAAGCCCTCAACAACTGTTGAATCTGAAGTGGGCTGTGGATATTCTCTCTCCCTGTAAAAGTATGTTTCAAAATAAACATAATAAAATTTATTATAAAAACGGAAAGATAAATAATGCTTGACCAAAGGAAAAGTTGTTTTCTCAGGAATGTAAAAATGCCTTTTCAGCTAAGGATTTTTCTCAAGGCCAGCCACTGTCAAATAAATAATCTACAATTTCAAAAAATGATAAACTTGTGTTCTTGAGTTCTGGAGTCTTAAGAACTTCCTTCCGTGATTTATGCATTGATAGGAAAAGGCAGAAAACCTTCAATAAACGGACCAGAAATTGGAAATGACACATAACTTGATTTGCTACTAGATCATCAAGTGCTGATTATAGCAGTGGCCATATGGGGATAGAACAAGATTAGAGATTTGGGGGTCCCAGGTCTGCTTCTGTATTTTTCCCATGAGTCCCTGTGTGGCTTTTGGTGAACATCTTTACACTTTAGTTTCCACATCTGTAAAGTCACAAGGTTCTACAATGTTAAAGTCAAGGTTTGTTTCAGGCCTGCAAGTACAAATTCCAGATTATATTAGTAAACCTGCTTCAGTAACATGAGAGACAAAAAAAAGGTCAAGTTCGAGATATGAACTGGCAAATCAGGAGACAGCAAATTTATTCAGTCCTATTGAATTCTCAACACAGGAAGCCCAAGTGTAACAACTTTTGCTCTTAAGAAAGTCTGACTAGCAAAGGAAATAATATGGAAAATAAACAGATTTCAAAAAAGGTCCTAGCCTCAGCATAATTCTATTAAAGAAAAAAATATATATTGCCAACTAAAATATTGTGTGCGTTTCTAACACTGAGAATAATGGATATAAATGGCCCTTATTTATGCTTCAAAAAAGTTTAAAAATAATTTTTATTTCCTTCACAGGGATAGAAAACTGCATGAAAACACGTACTTCTAGTGAAAT